TTAGCCATCATTCAAAGGCAAGTCTCAGAGTCCCTTCTGACATCCATTTTGGTCTTTTCTTCCTTTCTGTCTTTTTAATGATCTTTTGCTTTCTTCTTGGATGCTATTCTTGATGTCAACCCACAATTCCTCTGATTTTTGGTCATTGGTGTTCAATGCATCAAATCTGTTCTTTAGATGGTCTCTAAATTCAGGTAGGATATAATCAAGGTCATATTTTGGCTCCTGTGGACTTGTTTTTTAATTGTCTTCAGCTTCAACTTGAACTTGCATATGAGCAATTGATGGTTTTGTTCCACAGTCAACTCCTGGTCTTGTTTTGGCTGAAGATATTGAACTCCACTGCTTCTTTCCATAGATGTAATTTATCTGATTTCCTGTGTATTCCATCTGGCAAAGTCCACGTGTATAGTCACCATTTATGTTGTTGAAGAAAGGTATTTGCAGTGACTATGTGGTTGGTCTTGCAATATTCTATCATGTGATCTTGAGCAGCATTTCTATCACCAAAGCCATATTTTCCAACTATTGGTGATTCTTCTTTGTTTCCAACTTTTGCATTCCATTCACCAGTAATAATCAACACATCTTGATTGCATGTTTGGTCACTTTCAGACTGCAGAAGTTGGTAGAAATCTTCAATTTCCTCATCTTTGGCTTTGGTGTTGGCGGATAAATTTGAATAATAGTAGTATTAACTGGTCTTCTTTATAGATGTATGGCTATTATCCTATCACTGACAGCACTGTTCTTCAGGATAGATTTTGAAACATTCTTTGTGACAATGAATGCTACACCTTTCTCTTCAATTTGTCATTCCCAGCACAGTAGATCGTATGGTTTTCTGATTCAAAATGTCCAAAACCCATCCATTTCAGGTCACTAATGCCGAGGATATTGATCTTTATGCGCTCCATTTCTTGTTTGACAACTTCCAGTTTTCCTAGATTCATACCTCCTACATTCCATGTTCCAATTATTAATGGATGTTTGCAACTATTTCTTCCCATTTTGAGTTGTTCTACCTTCAGCAGGACTTGGAGGTCCTGAAGGCTTTACTCCATTCATGTCATTAAGGTCGACTCTGCTTTGAGGAGGCAGCTCTTCCCCAGTCGTATTTTGAGTGCCTTCTGACCTGAGGGGCTCATCTTCTAGCACTATATCGAGCAAAGTTTCAGGGCTCTTCCTAAAGTTTTCCAGTAATATATCAGACAGTGCTTCACTGCTCTTCATAAGGTTTTCACTGGCCAATATTTTGAGAAGTGGATGGCCCCTTCTTTCTTCTGAGCCTGTCTCAGTCTGGAAGCACTGTTGAAACTCATCTACCATGGGTGACCCTGCTGCTATTTGAAATACTGGTATCATAGTCTCCAACCTCACAGCAACATGCAAGCCATCACAGTACAACAAACTGACAGGTAAGTCATACAAATACTGTATGTAATTAGGCACTAAACCCACTGCTATCAAGTCAATTTTGACTCATAGCGACCAACACTACGGGAGCAGTAAAAAAAAAATGTTGAAGAGCAGATTCCTGCTCTCAAAAAGCTCCTAACTCAATTCATGAGACCAAATATAAACTTGTAAGAAGATAAGAAACTATAAAATGTATAAATAGAATGTAAGACCAGGATATGTCACATAGCTGTATATGTGCACACAGATGTCACATATAAATGAATATTATTTTTATAGAATAATTAGAATTTCAGCAGCAGCCTGAAGGATGCTAGAAGGTCAGTAGGCAGAGAAGAGCAGAGAGAATGCTCTAGGTTTCTGGAACAGCTTAAGCCAAGTACTTAAGCTTCTTTGTTCACATGGCAGTTCCAATGGTAGTTTGTTTATATGATAACACATGATGCTGTAGGGAATTACTCTATGATATCTGCTCTATTATACTGCTTAACTAGCTATTATGACTTTGTATAAAGTTATGCTTTGAGAGAGACTGGAATAATTTTACCTAGCTTTGCAGAATAATGAAAACTCTGTCAAATAAGAGCACATCTATTTCATACATTTTTCAGAAGTAATGTTTCTATAGCCCCAGAAAGCGTCTGTTTGGTTCATCATTTCACATCATGACACAATGGGAGTGGGATTGTTGTTGATGTTAGGTGCTGGCAAGTTGCTTGTGACTTGTAGCAACCCTGTGTCCACCAGAACGAACCACTGTCCAGTTCTGTGGCCTCCTCACAGTCATCGCTATATTTGAGCTCATTGTTGAAGCCACTGGTTTAGGCCATCTCATTGAGGGCTTTCTTCCTTTTCACTGACCCTCTACTTTACCAAGAATGATATCCTTCTCCACGGACTGGTCCCTGCTGATCACATGTCCAAAGTATGTGATACAAAGTCTGGCCATTCTTGCTTCTAAGGCGCTTCTCTGTCTTCTTCTGAGACAGATTTGTTTGTTCTTCTGGCAGTCCATGGTAGATTCAATATTCTTCACCCACACCATCATTCAAAGGCATCAATTCAAAGGACATGGGGTAGAGGGCCCAGAACCAAGAGCCAGGCCTGATGGGCACCCTGCTCTTCCCTCACTGGGCTGCAGAGCATCCATAGCATGGCCCCAAGAAAGGAGGTATTTGGAATAGTTTGAAATTGAGCTTAAAGTCAAACAAAGGGAAAGCCCATTGAAGAAAAGGACAGCCCAAAGCTGAATCAAAGCTGCCTGACAGAAAAGTAACTGCATTCGTCAAATGAGCTCTGCTGCCCAGATGAGCTGGGACACTGGAGAAGATGGCATTCTGATTTCCCTTTGATTTAAATTCACCCGTGGGACCCAGAGTTAACATTTCCCCTTAGGTACAGTTCTCTAAACTGTCTAAATAAATACATTTTTCCCCCCCTGGTCCTCTGTCCTTTAATTTGCAGTGGAAAAAGTGGCTGTAATTTGTAGATTTCTGGACATTCACTCAGTGACCAAAAACCACCTGCTGAAGTACTCGCTGGCACATGCCTTCTGCTGCTTCTTGACAGCTGTGGAAGACGTCAACCCAGCAGTGGCCACCAGAGCCGGTCTCTTGCTGGACACCATAAAGAGGCCGGCATTGCAGGTGACACCCCTCAGATGTGTGCTCTCTGCTCTGCAGACGGTCTGTACAGCGCTGTTAAGTCATTGAGTTGCTTGTCACATAAACACACGCAATAATGATGACAGTGGACACACATCTGGTTGCCAGATGCCCTGTTTTCATTTGTTGATGCTTTCCTTCCCGTCTGCCATGTGCTCTTATCACTTTATACAGGTGTCATTATTGCATAATCTTGGAGGATGCAGAGTTTTAAACTAGGCTGGTTTCTTTTTTACACTATTTAGCTGCCTCTGTCATTAGGCTGGCTGCTAAGAGAATTCAGGTGAATTATACTATCAATCAAAGCAAAACATGAGAAGGTAAATATGTTTGAAAATGAAACAGCACAAATTTAAGCCTAAGACACATGAAACATGAGACCTGGAGAGACTTGTATATTAATTTTCTTTGGCTCTTTTATTGTATAGTTGAAGAAACCAAGTCTGAGAGAGATTATGTATTGAAGGACATGCAGTGAATTAGTAGGAGAACCAAGGCTGGAACCTAGGTCTCTAAGGTCCTTATGTGTTGTTTTTCACATTGCAGCCAGATTTATTGTTATATTGTTATTATTATTAACCAAAAAAAATCAAACTCACTGCTGTCTAGTCGATTCCAACTCACAGCGACCCCTTGTTGGGTTTTTGAGGTGGTATCTCTATGGAAGTAGATTGCCCAGTCTTCCTTCCAAGGAGTGGCTGGTTTGAACCGCCAGCCTTCTGGTTAGCAGTCAAATGCCTTAGGCAGTACACCACCAGAGCTCCTGTTATTATTATTAGATAATGATAATCACGGTCAAAGCTAACGTTTGTTAAATTGGCACTGTGTTCCCAGGGCAGTGTGTTAAAAGTGTCTCATCATGCACTGTCGCGTTTACTCCCCACAGTGACCTTTTGTGTGTACCTATTTCACAGATAGAGAAGCTCAGGCCTAGAGTTGCTATGAGTCAGCATCAACATGATAGCAGTGTTTTTTTTGTGTGTGTGTGTGTATGTGTGACTAATGACATCAAACTTCTTTTCATGTGCTTTTCACCTCTTTGGTGAAATATCTGTTGAAGTCCTTTTCCCATTTTTTT